GTTCTACTATGCATTATGGCCCTGCTGTTACTCTGACTTAGTTCAGGGGACTGAAGATGCTGCACTTAAAAGATGAGTCATTCATCTTCAGAACACACAAACTGATATTTCAACATCTCTCCACCAATAACACAGGACTGCCTTTTTTGTCACTCTACCTTTTAGATGAGTATTTTCAGTATTTGAAAGTCAAGCCATTCCTGTATAGCCAGATAAGATTAATGTCACAAATGTTATACTTTTCAACTTTCCCGATGAAAATTAAATGAGGACCATTTTTTTTTTACTTTTATAAAGATTTAATTTAGAACATATTTTAGATTTAAAGACAAGAACTTCTAATCTAAAAGACACATTCTCCCCCCCCCCCCAAGAAAGGGGATCAGGCAGTATCTACAGCATAACTGGTACCACAAGCTTGTTGGAGAGTCTCTTACACCATTATACCTCCAGCTGACAAAAGAATTAATTTCAGAAGCAAAATACCCACTGGAAACTTTATTCAGGTAATTTAAAGTATTTTCTGGGATCAGTATTAGAGACTAAGATTTTCTGCTAACCTTAACCAGCCTTACTCAGTGACATGACTCACATTTCTCTTGCAAAGAAGGTGATGAGAGATGATAATTCATTGCTTTGTTATGGAAACTGCAAATTTTCCTACTCATTCCCATGAACCTTAAGGAAATCTCCTCATAAAATTAGCAAGAAATCTGCCCCTTCTGTAAAGAAACAGATCTCTGAGAAAAGCTGGTCTGTCTAGTAGTGCCATAAATCATGTTTCAAAGCTGTTGTTTTTTTCTGGGTTCACACAAGATGATGAAATACGGAGATGCAAATTTATTTCTCCTGTGTTGGCTTCCCTTTATTGGCTCCCTGTTAAATCCTGTTAAATCCAGAATTGAATTCAAAATCCTGCTCCTCACATACAAGGTCTTAAATAATCAGGCCCCATCTTATCTTAATGACCTTATAGTACCATATCACCTCATTAGAGCACTTCGCTCTCGCACTGCAGGCTTACTTGTTGTTCCAAGGGTATTTAAAAGTAGAATGGGAGGGAGAGCCTTCAGTTTTCAGGCCCCTCTTCTGTGGAACCATCTTAGAGTTTGGATTCAGGAGACAGACACTATCTCTACTTTTAAGATTAGGCTTAAAACTTTCCTTTTTGCTAAAGCATATAGTTAGGGCTGGACCAGGTGACCCTGAATCCTCTCTTAGTTATGCTGCAATAGGCATAGGCTGCTGGGGGACTCCCATGATGCATTGAGTTTTTCCTTTTCAGTCACCTTTTTCACTCAGTATGTGTTAATAGACCTCTGCATTGAACCGTACATGTTATTAATCTCTGTCTCTCTTCCACAGCATATCTTCTATCCTGTCTTCCTTCTCTCACCCCAACCAGTTAGAGCAGATGGCCCCGCCCCTCCCTGAGCCTGGTTGTGCCAGAAGTTTCTTCCTGTTAAAAGGGAGTTTTTCCTTCCCACTGTTGCCAAAGTGCTTGCTCATAGGGGGTCATTTGATTATTGGGTTTTCTCTGTATGTATTATTGTAAGGTTTACCTTACAATATAAGGCGACTGTTGTTGTGATTTGGCGCTTTATAAATAAAACTGCATTGAATGTAGACACGCAGAGTACAATTTCTATTCATATTTATGTTTGCTTCACTGAATGTAACCCCCCTCCCTTCCTTTGTTTCTGGTAGCACTTTCTTTTCATTTTGTTGGTGGTGACGGGGGTCGGACTTGATTGGATGTGAGGGGTTCTAACTTTTTTGTTGTTTAGTTTACAGTGGTTGATACAAATGTTACTATATTTCTTCTGGGTCATTTAGTTTCTCTTTCATACATCTCCAGGAATAACAGCTCAGACACTGACCTGATAAAATACACAAACTTGGGTCAATGATTTACAAGCTGTGTTTAGTCGAGAAGATCTAACAACACCGAGATTAAAACTGAAATTCACGATTATAAGAAAGAAAACAAATACAAACCCGGTCATGGACAGTAGGACAGCATGTTTATACAGTCCACAAACAGAGCTGATATGTATCAAACAATGGGCGTAGGCTTTCTCCCGAAGATGAGCTCGAAGCTGCAGCGATCAATTCATAAAGACACAATATGGTAGCTTTATGTAACAAAGAAAGAAAACAAGCTCACCTGTACACGCGATTAATAAACCGAAGAAGAAGAAGGACCACACCATGGTTTCAGCAAACAGGGAAACACGCTCACAAAGAAAAGAAAAATAAATTAGATCCGGCTGAATAAACTTATTCACGCACCCGTGTCCCTCCTCCTGCTGCTCCTGTACCCACAAGCTGTGACCAAACCCTAAACCTGTAAGGGAAAAAAAAAAATCCGAAACCAAAAGTAGTCAGGCAGCAACTATCACGACAGTCACACGATTACCTCACCAAGCGTCCCGTCTTCTGCTCGCTCTGAAGCGACATTGTGAGTTAAAGGAACAGTTCGAAGTTATTTTTCAACCTCTTACTTAATAAATTAAACATTTGATTTACTTTTGAAGAAAACCTTCAAAAGTTTGCAGTATAGCAACTAGTTTCATTTAACCTTAGCTCAACCTTTAGTTTCAGCTAATTACTCAATTAAACCCCCCCTCCTCCAAGACTTCAGCATTCAATCGTCAATTTTAAAGCATGTAAATGATAAATGTGTATGCAGTTTTTATACAACCAAGTCGCAAGGCTTAGAGCTTCGTCTTTTCATACTGGGTAGAAATGTCTAATAGCAATATTCCCGACTGCACATGAAGGCGTCCATACCTGTAAACCTGTTGGATTCTCCCACAGCACCCTCCCGAGGACAGACTCCAACAAAACACTGAGAATTCAGGTGCCTTTGTTTCATGTGCGCCAAATGTCCCCGAAATAAGCAAACAGTTTATGCCTTTTATAGAGATATCAAATTTGTGTGCAGGACAGAGCAGAGTTTTTCCATATGCCTTGTATCTGTGCAGCAGGCTGAGACAAAACTATATTGTGCTCCTTGATTTAAATACAATGGTATGTTTATATGGTTAGGTTACTGAGTTTGTATCTAAGCCTACAATTTTCCTTTCGATTTTAATTTTGCTCATAACAACAACCAAAGAAAACAGTTATTCTGAATTACTGGCAAAGAGGTTTACAACCTTGTATATTTTATGTTCCTTTATTACACTAATAACTGCTGTTTACATGCATATGAATAGCAACAAGATGTTTAATAAGAAAATACACTTTTGCCTAAGTGACAAATATTTACAGCACATACAAACAAATACAAATATGTTATAAAGTTCTCCTCAGCCTTCACACAAAGAACTTGAACTCCATTAACCCTTCAATAATTCGGATTATTAACACATCAGTGTGCGGTTTATTTTCAACAATAAGTTATTCAGGCTTTACTGTTTCTCATAAATAAATATAAACTTTTGGATTTACATCAAATATTAAACTGAATATACAGAGACATTCAACACGACATATATGGAAGACTGAAGTTAAATAATAAAACTGCGGTGTGCACTGCTGGCAGGACAGGTGATAAGAAAAGGCAGTTTATAAATGCTTTGCATTTCCCGTGAGTTTAACAGTGCCGTAATTTATTATTGTATTTTTTTCTGTAGCCATTCAGAGGTGCACATGCTGGTCTGTTCTGGATTTGCTGCACAATCCAATCATGCTTGAGGTTCAGGGCTGCATATTCTCTTTCAGGATTTTCTGTTAGAGAGCAGAATTCATTGTTCAGTAAATTGTAAGTTGTGCACGTCTTTAAGCAGCAAAGCAGCCCCAGATTATTACACTACCACCACCATGTTTGACTGGTGGTATGATGTCCTTTAAATGGACTGCTGCGATGGATGTAACGGGACGCAAGTTCAACTTTTGTCTAGCTAGTCCACAGAAGACGGGCCATCTGAGCCTTTGTGTTCTTTTTGGTCAGCAGTGATTTTTAAACTTGGAACTTTCCAATGAAGCTATTTTTTGCCCACTCTTTTTCTTATTATTGAATCATGAACTCTGACCTCAACTGAGACAAGTGAGACCTGCAGTTCTTTAGATGCTTCTCTGGGTTATTTTATGACCTCTGGATGAGATTTTGATGTTGATGCACTCTTGGAGTAATTTTGGCAGGTTCAACAATTTCTGGGAAGGTTCGCCACTATTCCAAGTGTTCTCCATTTGTGGCTCTCTCTGTGGTTGACTGGATCCCATACCATCATATATACCATAATTTAAAAATAGCATTTTTCATTTACTCAGGTTATCTTTGTCTAATGTTAACATTTATTTTATGATCTGAAACATTCAAGTGTAACAAAAATACAAAAAGCTAAGAATTCAAGAAAAGGGTAAATACCTTTTCACTACACTGTATTTAACAAAAACTAAATCAAAATGGATAAGCAAATTAGTGAAAACAACGGAAAAAAAGCCATCTGATTCAATGGGTAGTAGAACCACCTTCAGTAGCATCAAGACCAGTTCACTCAAATAACCATCCTGACATCAGCTACAGACATGCAAATACAATGGAAAACTTTGCCTAAAACTGAAACAGAAAATAACTGCGTGGAAAAGGTGTCCAAAAAAAGTCCAGGAAGCAGTGAGTCATGCCTCCATAATAAGCCTGACACATTTTCTGTACCACAAATATGTGGTAGGGCAGCAGTCTTGATTAGTGGAGCTTTAGAGATAGCTGACAAGATAATGCATTTTTAAAGCTACAGCTTTGAACAGAAGAACACCCACAGAGCACGCAGAGCAGACATGTCCGTCGGCCATCAACAGACATGTTACAGAGGTTTTCTCCAAACACCAAATAAAATAATTAGAAATAATAATAATAGCAGAGATGTGCATTTTTATAAGAAGATAAAGGTTTACCTTATACTCATCCTGAGGGAGTTCCTGGTTGATAGCCACAATTGTGGAAAGAGATTGTGCCATTGGGTGTCACATAATATGCAACAGCAATGAGGAGCAAAACTCCAACGGCCACACCTATTGCCAGCATGACTCGAAGGTTGTTCGAGCCCCTGTGGGAGATGGGAAATGTGTTAACATTGTCGCTCTCAGCTCATCTTCTCAGTCTTTCTGCTCTGTCTGTAATAAACTATCTTGTGTGGACTGAATCTGGGTGTTGTGTGCTCTGTGGTTGCCATCACTCCTTTGGGCCAAAGGTGCTACTGTGTAACGGGTACAATGAGGAGGAGAGAGAAGTGAAGTGAGTGTGACGTAAACAGTTTGATGGACATTAAAGTGTGCCTAAAACGAGCCATTGTCTCCAGTGTTATATACAAACACAACAAACTACACATCCCTAAAACAAACACCAAAACAATTAAAATCCCAGCAGTGGTCCCATGACGACTACTCAATGGAGAATCACAGCACAAAATATTATGACAATAAAAAAAGTATAACGAAATAAGAAATGTTATGAATGTATCAGAATACAGAGATGAACAGAGAAAAACTTCAAGAAATGAAAATACAATTACAAGTGATGAAAACTCACTGAGTACAGTCACACTATGTGACTTTGAGCGCATCATGGCAGGACCTTGTTCTCCTGGCCACAAGTTTAGTTTTGCTTCACACCAGATCTCAGCTCCATCATCATCTCCATGAGCAGTCAGAGTGAGGACAGATGACTTACTCACGGGAGATGGACTGGAGTCATCAAATGTCTCAGAATTTAAGATCTTATTTCCTTTGTGCCAAAGCACAGAGAGATTTCTTGCTGGTGCAACATTAACAATGTCACACTGTATGGCAAACTGTTCACCTTCTTTCACTGTAGTTGAATTCTGTCTCAATGACACACTGTCTGGCATTTCTGCAAGTAGAAGAAATTAAATGAATTAATGTCATTCAGTGTTCTAATATTAAAACACCTTTCTAGGAAATATATGAGAAAGTTAAGGCTACTTACTATAAACAGTGACTGGTAACAGTTTTACACACTGATCACCATCATGGAGATTTACATAACACATTGGCTCTAACTCCCACACTGGCACAGAGTCAATTGAAAAGAGAAGAGAAGTGACACCCTGGGTAAGGTCCAATCCTCCATATGGAGACTCCCAGCCCATTCCATCAATCTGGTCAGATAGTGAGGTGCAGTTGGCTGAAAAGGAGCCTTCAAGTCTCACCACAACTCTAGGGGGACTAATTTGTAATGGACAGGAGGCACTTGCAGGGTTTCCTAGAGAAGAAGTAGACTTAAGTTTGGCATATGGCACAAACAGCGATGCATACATGGCTGGTACTCAGTTCAGGGGACTGAAGAATCTCCACTTAAAGGATGAGCCACTCAATATTTTAAAACAAAAAACTGATATTTCAACACCTTTTGCCAAATCACAACATACCCAACACTACTTTCTTTCCTCTCACTTGACTTTGTGCATTAACACTTGAACCTGTTGTCATTCTAGTAAAAAAAAAATCATTAGACAACTAAAACTACAGTCATCCTCTTTAACGCCCCAGACAGAAAGCTTTAAAGGAGTCTTTTTTCATTTTCATGAAAACAGAATATGTTGGTTTTAAAAACCTCTTAAAAAGCCACTAAGCATCAAACTACAGTGGAATACTAGATTTTCCTTAGGACTGTGGATCAGACAGTATCTACAGCATAACAGGTGACACAAACAGAGGCTATTTTTTTTTTTTTACACCAAAATACATCAATTTTAGAAGCTTAAAACTATCTACTCATGACATCAGAAATATACCCAATCTAATGAACAACATTAGATGAATTAGATGAACAATAATGAAAGCTGGTCTAATTAGTATAGCCCCATAAATCAAGTTTTAAGATGCTTTGTGGGACCATGCTTTGTTTCTCCTGTAGATGATAATGTGGTTTATAGGAAGGAGAAAAAAAGCCGTTTAGTAGAAAAGAAAATATTTTATGAACAGAAGATTCTTGTTTGTCACTTGGTAACTCTGTCATACCTTTCAAGGAATTACAAGTTTAACAGGTTTCACAAGTATGCTGTATCATTTACAAGTTTCGCTTAACCTACAGAATCACACGAAAACTGAAACTAAACCCATCAAGCTAAATAAAGCAAATATGAAATATAAAAATATAAGGTCATAGACAGTATGGCAGTATTTTTATATGGTACATTAACAGAGCTGATATGAATTATAAATTAACGGAGACATAATATTGTAACTTTATATCACAAAGAAACAAACACGATAGATAACAAACTCACCTGTACACGCGATTAATAAGCCAAAGAAGAAGAAGAACCACATCATGGTTTCAGCATAGAGGACAACACGCTCTCAAAGAAATGACAAATAAATTAGGCCCGCCTGAATACAGTTAGTCACACACCTGTGTCGCCCCTGCTGCTCTGCCCACAAGCTGTGACCAAAACTGAAACCAAAATTGAAGGTAGTAACACAGTATATTTTTTTAATGTTTATTTTTTATGATGTATAAAATGATATAACTAAAATCTTTTTATTTTATTTAGTTGGTTAGTTATTTAGGAAAGAGCAAAACAAAAAAGGGAGAAAAGGTGGAGAGAAGATAACTGAGATGACATCACACCTGTGAATGCTTCACATACTCTATGCTAAACCGGTACTGAACCCAGTATGTAGTGCATGAGCATATTTTCAAAATAAAATCAAGATTTTTTGGAATCTTTTGGAACATTTTTCCTTAGTTTTACATTGTATGCACCAATGTAAATGGGACATATACCAGCCCACCATTTGAACTTAGTTATATATATATTTATATTCAAGAGACCCCATTGATTCGTTTAGACAACATGGAATTTTCACTGTTACAGTTTCTTGTAAAATGCTTGTTTATTTTAATGATCTCACCATCCTTATAATTATCTGTATGTATAGATTTGGACAGCTTTAAAATATAACTCATATATTACATGTAAGGGATAATTAAAACAAATCATTGTATTCTATTTTGAAATGATCATTTAAAGACATTTTATAGTCTTCTTTTACATGAAAAGTCTCGTTACCCAACATGTTTGGGATCCACATATCAAAATATATACGGTATAAAAAATGTGATACATGGATTATATAAATACACTAAAGAATATTCTCAGTTTTATGTTTAAAGCAGCCACAATTAACCATGTGATCCACAACAGGTTAGCAGAGGAAGACTTCAAAAAGGATTTGATAGTGCATCCACCATCAAAACACATAAAATATCAGCTTATTTTATAAATAAGGGTAACAGGATGGACATGCTATGCTTCAACACACTAATGAACCATTCTGAAAAATGGGGGAAGGCAAAAGAATGATATTAACTTTTTGTTCTTGTAGTTGATGTTCTTAGAGATATGTGTGGTGGACAAAGCAGAGCTTTTCCATATGCATTGTGCTGTGCTGCAGGTTCAGGTAAAGCATAAATACTGTACTGTTATTCCTCCTTTACCCCCCCAAAAATATTATTGTTATGATTTAAATACAATGGTATGCTTAGGGTTACTGAGTCTGTATTTAGGCATACAATTTTCTTTTTAAATTTTATTCATGCCAATAACCAAATAAAGCAGCCATTCTTAATTACTTGTAAAAAAAGGTTTAAAACTACATATCCAAATTTTCCTTTCTTGAACTCCTCAGTTTTCTTTATTACACTATAATACTTGGATGTTTCCATGCATATAAATAGGAACAGCATGTTTTAAAAAGCGACATTTTTAATAACAAAATACACTTTTGCCCCAGTCAGAAATATTTACAGCAGTATATACAAATGTGTCATAAAGTTCTCCTCAGCCTTCACACGAAGGATTTGAACTCCATTAACCCTTCAATAATTTGCATTACTAACCAGTGCGCAGTCCATTTTCAACACTAAATTATTCAGCCTTTACTGTTTCTCATAAATAAATATAAACTTTTGGATTTACATCAAATATTACCCTGAATATACAATTCATATAGACATTCAATATGATATGCATTGAAGAGTGAGGTTAAATAAGAAAACTGCTGTGTGTGCACTGCTGGCAGAGCAGGCGATAAGTAAAAGCAGTTTATAAAAGCTTTGCATTTCCCGTGAGTTTAACAGTTTAAAGGACAGCAGTCTGAGATTCACAATGTCCTAAAGACGTGATAAATCCCATACGGTTCTGATCTGAAGTCTTAAGGTTAAAAGAAACATCAACATTAGTGAAACCAACCATGCATCAGATATAAAAAATAAAATGGGAAAAATTTTCACCTTCGAGTTGGATTGCTCCTTCACTTCTTTCTATCCAGTGAAAACTGGTAAGAATCCAGTAGTATAGACAGACTTGTACATCTCAAGCCAAGGTTGCTCATTTGTGTAACTACACCAGGTGCAATAACAGTCACAAAGAGTAAAAGCTACAATAAAAATAAATAAATCAAAAACCTGATTTAAATGTTTCTGACCCTCACTCTATTTTGTTGTTTCCTTAAAACCAAACTGCTTCCAGTGTGCCTGCTATTTTCAGATCACTGAATGTAAATCACATTCTGACTACTTTCTTTATAGGAAAAGGATGAAGCAAGGCCCCGAGAGATAAGTCTTGTGTTTTGTTTGGTGACACAAAAAAAGCATTCAATGTACTGTGTGGTGACTCCACATAGTCCTTACCTTAGCTCAGCCTTTGGGCTTGGACTCGTGAGACACGGATCTAATTATCAGTGTTAATCATGGATATGAAGTCACATCAGTTCGTCAGTGTAGCTGATATTTGCTCAAGTTTAGGATTCACAGTGAAATTACAGTTTTGTGAGTCGAGTAGTGAGAACTGATCTTTCATTGAAGGATCTAAAAACAGGAGCCATGATGGAAGTGGTGAACACGTTAACAAGCAGAGGACCTTAAAGAGACCCTGCCAAATTTAAATCAAGTATGGTTTTCATTATTTTTTCTTTAAATTATTCAAATCAAGGAAATTTGTGATTACACCTAGTATTACTGCCTTATGGATAAAACACTTATAATTGCAGGTATAGTCCCCACCTCTTTTTTTCCCACCAGAGAGGAAACAACATATTCACAGTTAGCTTAATCGGTTGAAATTCAGTTGTCACGTCAACAATATTTCATGGAAGAAAGTTAAAAAAAAGTAATCAAAGCTGGGCTATCTAGGGCCAAACTACTCTACAGTATAAACCTAAAATCTGTGTGGAAAAGATGACACGTATGATGTGTAGAAAAACACCAGAGTAGAAAGGGACTCTTCACTCTGCATATTTAGAGCAGACTCAGTGAAGAGTTTCAGCACAAACCCAAAGCACTGCACACAGCTGTGTGCCTACAATGTAACAACTATGTGAAAAACGGTAGAATTTAAAGTTCACTGGAGAATAAGTGAGGAAGAGAGATGGCACCAGTGTTAAAGAGAGACTGTTCCTATCAAACAGGAAAGCATGGAAAACAAAGAAGACACATCCAGGGAGGAGAGAGCTGTAAGCAGCATGTTATGGTTATAGTTGAATAATTTAAACTTGCCACTTTGGTGATATAGCCAAAGTGGCAAGTTTAAAAACAAATAACTCTAAAGGCTGTGTGCCTGTGATTGATGCACTACTTATACAAATAGGACTACACCTCTGATTATAATGTAAGGGGAACTCTATGTGAGAATAACAGGGTGATTGACGTTTGGAGGACAGAATAGTCTTTCTTTGTATTTGGCTCGGTATTCAGACTTAAAAAAACAACAACAACAACAAGAAAAAACAAAACAAGAAAAACCTGTTAACCCTGGTGGCAGAGAGATGCAGACCGTTCAGATTGCTCAGCAGTCTATTCTGTGCTATATACAGATGTACTGCTTTGATAGTCGGGTCATTGGGAACTGCAGGTCACCATTGCTGTGAGCTACATTCCCATTGTGCATGCTGAATTTGGGGTTTTTAAGGCTGTAGCGGCGCATCTTGGTGTTCTTGTAGTAGATTGAGTAGATGAAGATGAAGATGGTGGAGATAGCTACCACAGTGACAGCCACAAATCCAGCGATGAGAGGGAGGTAGTCCTCTGCAACATAGACAGTGAAACGGGAAACAATGCAAGGGTGTTCATTTCCTATGTGCAACAATACAAATGTAAACTTTTTACTCTATAATTTAATGGGGTCAACAAACAAACATGCAAAATTAAAAAGTGCAAATAAAAATAAAGATTGATAGCTTCTAATTTATTTTTAAAAATGACCAAGTATTGGGGCAGGAAGATCAATTGCAAAGTAGTAGTACCCCTTAAGTTTCTAGTGTGTTCTACGTGACAGGCTATAGTTTATATTTACAGAGAGATTTGTGGAATATAATTTTATGATTTACCATCTCCACACACT